AATGGCTTCAGAACTGAGACGTGACTGCATAAAAAAGAAAGGTGGAAAAGAGTTTTAAAAAGAAAAACAATCAGGCCATCGACTTTAACTAAGTTTGAAGATGGTTAAATTATCTCACTAGGTCCAAAACATAAACCAGAGAAAGAAGGGGGAAAAGCAAACTTAACAGTACAATCCCTTTAATTAAAAAAATACAACTGCTATATGAATCAATAATGTCAGTCCACCATTGTTCAAAACCATGTAGGATACAAGCAGGATCTGCAGTTGACAGTAATATGGCGGGACGAAATCTGAGGAATTACCTTGAATACATGTGCTAAGATCCCATCCTTTCCATAGGCATCTTTCCAGAGGAAATGATCTGAGGTGTTCTTCCTAAACAGTGAATCCCACTGTGCCCTCACAACTTCCCTAGCTGCTCCAAGCAGCAGCTTATCATGGGATATAGATGTTTTCCTCCCCTGTTCGCAGTAAAGTTCAACAGCCTCCTGTCCATGAGGCAACCAGTCTAGGGGAGCAACACATGCCGTCTCAGAAAAATTAAAGCCACAATCAAATCCCGAATGATAAGCCCCTGGGAGGACAAGAACAAACTCCCCAGGAGACTGAATGCAACGAAAGACTGGTATGCCCTGTGATTTCAGTGTGGAGGGCGGTAATTGTTTAACCTGTACCAAAAAATATATATGATATAAAAGGTTAACATCTCTTGAAAAATATTTTACTAAAAATAAATTTTTAACTTTAACACGAAGGGATAGCGGGGAATCATAAGTTTGTCAGCTCACCAGCCAATTTCGCAATTCAGGATGTTCTGATGATGATTCTGAAAAGGAGCTCCTCATGGCTGCCTCAAAATTAACACTATATTTCCCAGGGACACCATACCATATTTTAGGAGCACCCAGATGTGTGTAAGCCAATGAGTATAAATGGTGCTCTTCAACTTTCTGTTTAAAAGGACTCAAAAAATCAAAGCATGATCAACAAACTAAAAATAAGACAAGCCAACCACAGACATTATCCATAGAAAAGTAAAGATACTTAAAAATGCGTCTCAAAAGAATACAAGTTTGAGAGCCATTGATTACCACATTTAAAAGTTTCAAAGAATACATTATCCAACTTTCTAAAACATATATAACGTTTTCTGCAAAAGATGCAACATGTGAGTCATATCAAATCTTACCCAATGAAAAGATGAAAAGCACATTCCCACACGAGCCTGAGGTACCAAAATGTTACAAGTGTCATGGCTTTCAAAAGAAAGAAGAGAACCAGGCAGTCTGGGTAGATTATTTAAGTTCCAGCCTGATGCTAAATATTCAGGGTGATCTGACGTTGCCAAAGGATTGGAATCTTTGGATACTGTTGGAAATCCACTGCCAAGAGCTTTAGTCTCCAAATTATCACCACAAAGCACCTTCACAGTACACCAAGATGACAATTAACAGCACAAACTGCCTCAATAGAAAGGAAGAAAATAAAGAAAAAAAATTAAAAAATGATCATCCCAATTTCTAAGTGTACCTCAATCTCTTCAGTTGGGTTCTCCGTAATAAGTTTATATTCAGCTTCAATATGCTCCAGTGATGGAACCCACTTCTCTTGTCTGCCTCTGACTTCACTTTTGCAGAAATATTGAATCTTGAAATCAGCTGCATATCTCTCAAAATTCTCAAGAGTGAATTCTCGACCAGGTTCTGGTTCAAAGCCTTTGACATATGAATGTCCTGTTTCACCTGGACTTGAGGTAGATCCACTGTCCAAACCCACTCTCAAGATTCTTCTCCTCTTCTTTTTTGTGCTTTCATAAAAGCCAACCATTTTACTCGGTGAACTCTGATTTCGTAGCCCATCAATCCGCTGAATATGGGTAGAAAATGTAGATCTTTTCCACATGGTGTATTCCTTAATAAGACATTGAGGTTTCCAGGAAGGAGGAGGAACAATACGACAAATACCATATTGCTCTGCTCTTGCACGTATGGTTGCAATATATTTAAGCATGTCTTTAAATTCCTGCAGGAAAAATTCAAACTCCTTCAGACTGATATTTTATAAGCAAAAAAGTGAGCATTCAAACAAAAGATCCAGACAACATCTATGACACATGAAATAGTGCAGTGCCACAGAAATCAGAAAAGGTTAACCTCTTCTGTTGGGTGGAAAACAGGTGCTTCTTCAAGGACATCTATTCTTGCATCTTCAGGACGCCACCTTCCTGTTACCTATTCCAAGAATTCAATCAATAATCACAAACATTAAGTGAAATAGGGAACATGACATGGTAATGATTTTAGAAAATCAAAGGCAAATGGAAAGGTAGTGTACCTAATAACTATACAATTCAAAGGGAAGAGAATCAACTTAGTGAATGAAAATCAACCTTCAGACAATCACTGCAATCTGGACATCCATGAGTAACACCTTTAGGGAGGCAGGTTTTTGCAGGGGGGTCCTGGAAAAAAAAAAGATATAATTATAACAACTTCTAACCAGATTCAGCTGGTGATGAATCATGCAACATGAAATTATTCCTCTTTAAACATATAAACAAGCTCCTCATCAGCAGCTTATTTGCAGCATGCATAACGCAAGTTCAGACTTAAGTGCAAGCTAGTTTTATGTTTGACAGCAGCAAATATACATTCACACCCAGACAAACAAAAAGGGAAGAAGAGAAGAATAGACCATATCAAACTGTTCAGATTCAGGTTCCTCTGAGTTGTAATCACTTTGGTCGAAAAGTATCCATGGCCTATGCTGAAGAGATCTTTTCAGTTTATCCATGTCAGTCAGGTCAGATGTGGAGTCCATCTGGATTGGCTCTTGTTTAGAAGCATTGACACCATTAGTTTCTTCAACTTTTTCCATCCTCTTCAGCACGAAGGATGTACGAGACGCAAAACCAGGTGGAACTGAATTAAAAGCCATATTCTCACAATGGAGATAAGCCCTTGTTGGGTTCTGCAACCAACGGTACTGCAAACAGGAAAAGTGAAAACTGAAGCATTAGAACAAAAGAAAAAAGCACACCCATAAAAATGATTAGGGGATACATTTATGAACAATCTAAAATTAGCATAATGAGAAAACATCGAAGCAATAAACAAATTGTTCAACAGTTCATACAAGCTGCACTGCACCTGTTTCTAATGGATAACAAGAATAAATTATCTTTAACAAGCCAACAAGGAAAACGAACATGTAAGCTAGAAAGATTGAGATAGAAGAAACACAATGAGGTAAACTGAAATCCCACAATGATTCCAACCATACCAATAGTGAAATTGAGGCTCACAGTCACAACCTGTGATTATATTTGTGCAATAAAATCTGTTGCCTTCTTCAGAGCACAACCAACTGTACTTAAGTGAAAATCAAACAAATTCAAAATCATCATTTCCATCCATCCCATGCAAACAAACCTTCGCTGCCCATGTTCCCATTTGATTAAAATACAAACCCAGAAGTTTAACAAATCACTTACCCACGCAACAGTTCTGCATCACAACCAGTCACAGAATACACCCAAAAAAAAAACTAAAAAATAACGACACTCCTATATTTTTCAGGGAATCAAATTCATGCTTACCCAGAGACTGAAAATACTGGGATTGGTCTGCGCTTCACTTGAAAGCCAAAATTTCCAGTGTCGGGCAAACGAACATAAAAGGAAGACGAAATGGAAAATGAAGAAAAATGTTCAGGGCTCAGCAATTACAAATTTAGAAGGGCATACATTCCCGAATGGGTTCGCAGATATTTCATTGGGTCACCTAATGCGGTTTCAATAGACCCACAAGATTGGTTTGGGTTTGGGCGAAGGTGGGCTTCTTGTTTGTTTACTAACATGGATCGGCCTGTGCAGCTTTGTTCAGTACTCTCTCTCTCTCTTTCTCTCTTGGAAACTTTTGCTTATCAAAATGTTCATTTTATTCACAAGCAATAGTCTAAATTAATCTAATTTATGGGAGAGGTACTTAAACTTAAGTGCAAGGGGGCGGATTTACTACTCTAGTTAATTGGCCTAACCCACATATACCAAAAACATAAGTTTTGATGCAAGAATTTTGACATTAACAAAATGCATGACTTATTTCTGACCATTGGTGCATGATGATTTTTTGTGGGATCTATATGCATTTATGATCATGAATTACCCAAGCTCGATTAGACAACTAATCGTGGCGGGACCTCTTGATATAAATAATTTGAGTTCTTTTTTCAATGGTTATAATTAATTTGAGTTTTTCAAGGAAAATTGTGTTGCTATGTAAAATATGGAGGATGAAAACAAAAGAGGAAATGAAGGAGGAGCATCCAAAACTCAATAATACTTATATGCAACAAATGTTAGTTGAGTTGATAATTAAGGGGATAAACAAGATGCTCTATCATTAATTATTTGTTGGACGTGTGTTGAATATATACATTTGTTAGTTTGAATACTCTCTTGTGGGATTAGCAAATTCATAATTATATTTTTGAAAGATAATTACATACGTTAATCTCCCTTTGTCATATCTCGGAGTTTGTCTCATAGGAAAAACTTGGATCTGTCATGAACAACCTTCGGTATTAATTGCTATCAAACCTAAGAAGAAGATGAAACCAGAAGATTTTTTGAATCAAATTTATTCCTACCAATTATCCTGTTTGTATATTTTTCGTATAATGGTTTGAATTGTCAAAATCAACAGAAATAAAGATGGCTATTGTTTTTAAGTTTTCAAGCAATAATTATAAACAGACAAGAGAGCCATGGTCCATATCTGACAGACATTCAGAATAATACTCCTGCAAACAGCAAGTCCTGAACTGTCGACTGATGAAGATGGCACGCGTGAATATACATTACACAACCTGTTACTTGGAGAAAAAGCACTATAGCTAATATTAAAGAATTTATATTATTCATAATATTTATACAAATGCCAATACTGTATACAAAGAGAGAAATTTAAAAAAAAAAAAAAAAAAACCTAACCAGACTATGCACAAACTTCTAATTGCATTCCCAATCAAGCCAAATATATACCACAAATATAAATATAAATATATGTCACAAATCAACAAATCGGGTATGTGTCTAATATGGAGTGTAGAATATATGTGTTTCTTCATTTAGAGCAAAACCATGCTGTTGTGATCCATCTCAAATCTCATTTCGTCCATATCTGGAGCCACCCCATTTTCGAAGCTAGTTTCTTCCAAGTTCATCTCCCATAAAAATCCATATTCGTCGTCGTTTTTAGCGCCTAATTCGGGAACGGAGTTGTTGCTGTATTTTTCCTGAGGAAACTGGAGGAGATTCAGCAAAGAGTTGCTTTGGTTGTGGCTGTGGCGGGGTGGTGGTGTGGAAAATGAGGGGATCTGGTCGTAGCCACGAGACATGGTTTGGTCTTGAGTTGGAGGAGATGAGTATTTTTCCATGCTCAAAGGAACAGTGCAGGATGTGGTCTCCAACATAAAATCATGGGGGCTGAGTTTGGTGTTGTTCTCTTCTCCCTTGCCTTTGTGGAAAACTCTGCACAAAACCCAGTCTTCCTGTGAAAACAAAAGGCAAAATATTTAGCTTAGTTAGCAAAATAAAAGTTAAAATCATAATCTAAGTGCTTTCGATACACCACATCAGTATGACACGTAAAATGAGTTATCGTATATCATGTGAATGTTACTATGAGATCTAAATACATAATACACCAACTCATACTTTCCTTCCAAATTTTGGAATATATCTAAATTTTCCATGCATGATGCATGAAGCCCATACTTCCTTCCCTTCCAGTCGCAACTGGCAACATGGTGGGAACAAAATGATGGGGGTAGCAGCACGTGCATGTACTTGAACATCACGTGACCGAATATGAAATTTTATATAGAGTATTTGTAGCGTGTGCATGCAGGAATAATTCAATAGTATTATAAGGAAATTAGATGTATAAATAATATTAAGCTAGGAATGTTAAGGAAATTACCTTAGGAGGCATGTGTGGGGTCTCCAGCCGAAACTCATGCATAATCCAACCAGTTTTGATTCCATTAGGAGCTCTGTTCCGATAGAACACCAAAGTCTTTCTCATCCCTACAATCTCCCCTGTTCCTGGCTCCATCACCATCCGATCTTTCCCTGTTGCCTTCCAGTACCCAGATGTCGTTGCCCGATTGGTTCGAAACCCTGTGGCATACTTGCGGTCACGGAAGCTGAAGAAGTACCACTCGTTGGCATTAAGCTTTGCCACCTCTTCAATAAAATTAATTTCGAGATTAGGGTATATATTAGCATACTAAGCCAAGGCAATTATACATGCATGCATGTTGCTAATTAGCAATTAGGTACATAGCATTATCATTCTTGTCATTAATACCAACTTATGGCAAAAAAAGATTTAAACAAAAAGTGATGAGCAAGGTCCTATCCTATCAAATGAATAACGATCGTTTGCCTGAAAATTAGTCAAAAGCAAGTGAAGTGACATCTGCTATGTAATATATATTGCTTTCAATGAATCTTAGTTTTCACATTATAGATAAAAAGATTTTTTTTTATATTTTTTTTATCGTCGGCTTTTTCTTCTTGTGAATTATCAAATGTGTTGGCAAGTCAAGATCATCACTCGAGCTATGAGTTTTGTCTACGGAAAGTAGCCAAAGCAAATGGTAGGCACCACAACATTTAAGGAAACAGGATGCTCTAATTAAAGACCATTAGGGTTGAAATAAAGCAAGATTTATTCTGATTCTCTGAACTTGGAAATTTCCATGATTTAGCTAGTAGCTAGTGTGTGTGTGAAGTGATATGCATGCCTCGAAAAAGAGTGGTCATATTTTTACTACAAGGGAAAATTACGTGTAACAATTTACTTCATTTACCCCCCCCAAAAAAAAAACGATTTACCCAATTTTGTAAACTAAATAATTCTTCCTTATCTGAAACTTGCCCCATAATAATTAAGGTATGAACACAATTAAGGTATAATTTATTTAAAGATCCTGTCAGATCAGGGCAAGGCAACTATGTATATATAATTAACGTACGGATGGTAGGTGGATGATTGATCCTAATTGAAATAACAAGGATAAGGATAATTATAATTAGCTACAAATTATGAACAGAAGATCGATCACATCTACATCTAGCTATAAGGTATATATAGTCATGAACTGGAAGTTGTGGTGCACATCTGGGCCGTTCATAACTCAAGCAAGGTCCCACTTCAAATGGACGGTTCTGACGTGTGTGTGGGAGACTAAAGACGAATTTTGCACGTGACAGCTGGCAGAAAATGATCAAATCATAGCCACATGATTTGCATGAGAGAGAGAGAGAGAGAGAGAGAGAGGGGGGCTGTTTTGAAATTAAGGATATAAGTAATACTTACGTATATGAACACTATCTCTGCTATATTTGCAATAAAAACTTGTATTGTGGTAACTAAACAACCTTCATAAGCATGCCTAGTGCTTGCTGTTTGTGGCAAACCCAAGAGATTAAATAAACGCAATTGCTTTTGGGTCCCTTGTATATCTCCAATCCTACTCCTTATTACAATACATGTTATAATTAATTAAATTGCAATTACCATGACTACCTACCCATTGTGTGTGTAAATGTAAATGTAAATGCCTTAAGTGAGAACTATAATTCTTAATATATACGTTGAGATTGAACATTATGTGTGAACTTTGGACTTCAAAGTGCTTGAAGTCTCCTAATATTTCTTGCTAGTTCTATAACGAATTTAAAGGCAAGTGATTGAAGAACTAAGTCGGTAAAAAGAATTGGGGAAAATAAAACAAAAATATAGCAAGAAATTGCCATTTTCTCTTCTCTCTCTGTCTCTCTCTCTCTGTCTCTGTGTTCTGCCTAGCTAGTCCTGAAAACTCAAACACCTTCTGTTTATACGTACATCCACCACGACAAAAGCACCAACAACTTAAACAAAATATTTGTCTTTCCGACCACCCCCCCCTCCAAAAAAAAAATATTTGTCTTTGGAGATGATTTGTTTCAGAGATCGATCTTTAAAACGGAGCAGTTTACTTTATTGAAAATGACTAAAAACCACGGCCATGTCGACCAACTTGATGATATGCAAAAGATGCGAGAGGTGGTGGGGGAGGAGCAAAAAGATTCAAGAAAAAGAAGAAGAAGAAGAATAAGGACGAAAGCGCGTGGAAATTATATTAATTCATAAAAGGTGATTATGGAAATAATAATAAATTAATTAACCTTAACCTACATACGTACCAGGAAGCTGCCATGGCTCGCAGATATGCAAGTCAATTTCAACCAAAGTCCCCTTCAAAGCTTCCTCATTCGTGATCTTCTTGAACAGATAGTGGCAGACCAGCTCCTCGTCGCTGGGATAGAACCGAAACCCAGGAGGCAGTGTAGCTCCAATGTCTCTAAGCCCCATAATTACAGTTAATCAACTTGATTTTTGTTTCAATTAAGCAAACTAATCTCAAAAGGCTAGAAAGATGGAGATTGGAAACTAGTTATTCAGAATGATCTTGGAAACTAGTAGTTTTGGGAACTTGGGAAGCAAATTTAGGCTATGTATGGTGGGAGAGAGATGGAATGTAGCGCAGCTGATTTAAAAAGAGGGTTTTGTTGGAAATATTTTTAATTTCTAGAGAGCCAAAGGAGGGTTGGGGATTATATTTATATGGGCAAAGGGATGATATATATAATGTCCTTTCCCTGTGATGGCCTGGCCAGTTAAGAATTTCTTACAATATCATTATTCTTTCTAAAGCAGCGCAGGGTCATGCTTGTGTAACTAGTTAGTTATAGTAGGAAGTTTCAAGAAAAACCAAAGTTACAAGAAATCTAGTTATGGTGGGGGTCAAGCCTCAAGGCTATACTACACCAATGTATGGACAAGGAGCCAAATAATTTTATTGGAAACCCTCCAAAATACCCCTTTTTATTTACATTATAAAAATTGGCTACTTTCTGAATTTATCAAGAAAATGAACATTCTTATTACACTTTAGAGTGATATGCAAATTACGTTTAAACTATTTCTATCATATTTACTCACGCACCGTATTAGTAAATCTAATCCTTTTCATTACGTATTATTTTATATATATATATATATAGATGCTATTGAAGTTGAAGAGCTTTTAGTGGCTGCATGCCTTGTTAAGACACCCATAAAGAAGCTTTTCTGCATTGTCTTATGCTAATGACGTTCGCGCATAACATGATTTGTTAAAAATGGTAATAATTATGATTAATTAATTGGTCCGGCCATGCCTTCAAGGAAAAAATAATATGAAATATATTATATATATTGGATTCAAGTGGTTTTTTTTGTAGAAATGATCTTTGAATAAATGTATACAAAATAGACAGTTTGGATTAGCGAAATACAATGCAGATTGAGTCCTACAAGAATGTCCCTCATCCCTTATCGGAAGCTATATATGTATATATATTATAAAATTAGCTAAAGCCCAATCAAATTACCAAAGGCACGTGAAGAATTTCATTCATTTGGGATCGAAAATGGACAGCTCAAGAGAGAAAAATAATAATTTAATTCACCAATTGCTGGAAGAAATTGAAAACTGGTAGTACCAGTACATGAATGATGAACTTATTAGAAGAGTCCCATCTGTTCAAATTTCGATCACATAAGAATATTTTGGATGGATGTGAATGTGATTGTGGGGCTCACGGGCTTTTGTCTTTGAAAACTGGGTCCCACTAATGATCTACGAACAAACATCAGGCCCATCATCACACACTGTATACTTATCTAAATTAATTAATTTGATTTGTTATTTTTGTTTTTAGGTTTGTATTTTTATAAAAGGCCAATAATAATGATCAAAAATGTGGACAAAAGTGCATTTGTCACAACATGTATCATTCTAATTATAATTGGTATGCTAATAATATTGTAGATGATGACTGGACCGGGGGTCCAGCTCAGCGTGGTTTTGCCAGCACAAGGACATCCAGAGAGAGGAAAAAAATAATAATGGAGCTCAAAATTCAGTATGTGTATGAGTGTGACTTCAAAACCCTAGGATAAATATGTTAATAAAAGGACAATTATGCCCTTTAAATTCCCATTGTAGGATTACTTGTGAAATCGGGACCTCTTCGGATGATATGTCATATTCTACCTATACATGTGGCATGAAAAAAAACAAGAGAACGATGCTGACAGTCACCAAAATGGTGGTTTATTTTATGATCCTGTCGGGGAAAACAGTGATTAATTAACCCAGATTCAATAAAGTTCAAAAATAATAATGGGGTGTGCGTAGTTGGATTGGTTTAAGCTTTTGGTGTGCTTCCGAGTGGTCATGAGTTCAAGTCTCATGGTATCTATGTGTGTGAATTTCCCCCCTCACCTTCCTGATTTTGGCAAAAAATAAAGAGTTAAAATATAATCCCTGGAGATTTTCTTGTTTTAGTGTATCTATATTTAATTAGACACCAAAGAAGAGTTGTTAATGGAAAAACCACCATATATTATATATGAAAATTGAATCAATATTCTAAAAACAAAAAAAAAAGACAGTGATGGGTCAAGGTGGGTCCCTCACGTTTCTTGCTCAAAACGTAGACTAAATTAATTAATCAAAATCCTAAAATTGAGTGCAAAAAAGATCAAAGGCTAGCTAGGGTTCAAAGTAGGCCAATTAGATTATAATAATGGACACCATGAACCTAAATTAACGGAAGTAACCAGGAGACATGTGAAATCACATAATAAAGGGACACGTCACGAGGAGGGTGACGTGTAAGATTATTATTTTCAAAATCATATGATGAATATATATGTATATCCATCCAAAAAAATAAAACCAAGGAAAGATAATGCAAATGATTGTGAATGCTAGAGTTAGGGTTTATTTCCAAGGAGGGAATTTTGTTAGGTGAGGATGATGTTGGAGAATGAGTGACGGCTTGATCTTCCTCCAATGCTTTCTTTCTTGGCCCCCTCCTCCCTCCTTTCATATATAGTGTGTCTTTTTACTCAAATTCACTTCCATAAGTTATGGGCTCTTTATGGGATAGATATGCATTTACGCATATTTTACAATATTGTTTTTTGTTCTTTATAAGAGGATGCATGAAAAGATAATAACGTTTGAATATACCACTTTTCGTTTACCGTGTTGGTTTCTTATCGAAAAAGAAAAGGTCGCATATTAGCTGATGACATTATGTGACGTTGATGTATCAAAATTTAATCAAGATAATGGTATAGAATTAGGGGAAAATATCAATATAATCATCAAGTTATTTAAATATTTTTCTCAACCTTTGCGTATAGAGTGGATTCTACGCGGGTTCAACAATACCAATTAGGGAAAAAATTTATGAAAAGGAGTAGAATTTTCATGGCATATTCCTTAATTATGTAAACTAACAACTAAATAATTAATGTAAGAAATACACATAAACCATGGTATAATCAACTAACTAATGTGATTAAACAAAAAAGATATAAACCTTAATTGCTCGTAAATTCATAACTAAGTGGGGCCTAGCCCTAATTTTTATGCAAGGCTTAGATCCAGTCTATATCTTCTAATCACATCCTTTCTGAATCAGTGTCAAGTGTGTACTGAATTGATGCATACATGGCAGTCTCTTGTTTTCTATATGACAACTTTTCTTCTTTGTGTGTGATGCATAATTGGATATATATTATTAATCAGTCATCGACATCATTTCATTGCCCTACAAATTCAATACTTGAATATTCAAAATAATTTCATTTCAATGATTATCCTAAGAATTGCATAGTTTTCGTTGAAAATAAGTTTTTACTCTTTTAAGCATATTATTATGCAATCACTCATTGGAACGACAAACGATCTTGTGCATCTCCGTTACGTATTACATAAGAGAAATTTAAATCTATAGTGAGGGGAGAGATATGGATGGCGTTGCTGCTTCCGTAGTTGTAGCAGAAAAGTCGTTGTCCATGGCCAGATCGTGAATCCAAAGTCGTGCTGAAACTGGAAAATTGGGTACTTCGACAACTTTTACCTTTAATAAAATTGGCCAAACTTTTGTTCTTAGATTCCAGAACCACCTTTTAGAAAGATAAGTTTTCTTCCTAGCCTTCACTTTATTTATACACTTTAGAAAAATTTGCAGTCTAGGATGAGACCTGATTGTGCTACAGCTAAACTTTATCACGTACAATTTTGCTTTTGGAAGAAAATCTCTGCACTGTGTATGCATTGATTTCCATCTCAAGAAAGTGACAACTCGAACGAGTCATTTTGAAACCAACGGCTGCAGTTATTTCGGTTGTAGTTTTGTAAATTATGAAGGGTTTATTTAAATACTTGTGGGGTAATTAATTAAGAATCTCAGAAGGTTAGCTTCTCTAATTTTTAATGAAAAGGCCCTAGGGTCATGCAGATTGTCCTCATGTACATGATTGGAATTGTGGATGTTACAATCATAATTTGAGTGGTGTAATTTTCTATATACATATATGAATCAAAAGTATACTATATAAATTACGAATAATTTCAAGATGGCTTTACCCTTTATATATCCAGAGCTTTCGTATAGAATTGCATGTTAATCTGTATATATCATTAAGTAACATGATTTAACACAAGCTTCAGCTACAAGATTAATCCTAATTAGGCAGTGTGATGATAATTAACCTGATTTAGATTCCTCTTTGTCAAAAAAGCTAGCTATATAGAATATATATTATTGTAGGTCATAAAAATAAACGGCCGAGCCCTTATGTCCATAGATAGATGCTCGTCTAATCCTCTTGATTTTGGTATAAAACTTTAGTTGTACCTTTTGCTTTCTTCCATAATAATATATTATCTCTCTTCTGTCAAAAAGAGAAAAATATATGACCATCATAGGGAATTGCATACAGTGTATTTGATTCTGTTCTGAAATAAAATGGGATTTTCAAAGGTTTGTGTGATTAGAGTGTAGCATGCACAATTATAAAACTTTATGTCTTTATCATACAAACTTTAGAAAATTTGTTTTTAAAAAAATGTAACCAAATCAGAAAGATTCTGCTGATAGCTTGAAAACGCGGGAAATTGTTTTCTACAAGTATAAGCATCGTTGAACACGCATGGCTCGATGTGATTGGGAGTTAATCATATATATTCAAAGAAATTAATTGTAGATCGATAGAGCACAGTTAATTTATGACTATTGTAAATTCATAGTGTTTGTGATGCCAGGTTAAAGTTTCGAGTTTATATTCGTTTGACGAATAATGTTCTCTTATCAGATATATGTGCTATTCAACACTGTCTCTTAATACTATAACTCACAATCCCAGGGTTTGCAACCAGAGCTAACTAGTGATGGCTTCTGTTTCTACAGAATCCATGGTCGAGTTGGTTTTGATGATTTCTCTTCCATTCCATGAAGCTTAAAGGTCGTGAGTTTCGCAATACTAAGCAGTGTGCCAACTACGTCGGCGGGGAAGATGACAACAACAACACGAAACAAATATTTGTTGGTGCTATATATTAACTTATTATTATTATTAGCAATTAATCTTATTCTATTTATTGTGGGCTAAACTTCGGAGACACTCGGACACAGAAAATAATTGTGCTTCTTTGGATGTGACTCAGCACGCATCTTATGGCAACAGGTGGCAGCAGAGATTTCTGATTTCTAGAGAGAGAGAGAGAGAGAAAGAAAGCAGAAAGCGTGTGATCCCAAATATGCATAATTCAAATCATAT